TTTACCTACTTTTGAGAACTGCTAAGGACCAGATGATTTTTATTATGTCCTGACACGTAAAAGCATAGAACTCAAAGAGGGTGTACTTTCTTTTTCACATGACTGTATAACCTCACTACCACCACACTGATGAAGTTTTTTGTACATTTCTTGCACAGAGATACACTTTAAATCAACAGAACAATAAAAGGAGAGGAAATCATAGAAGCAATGATAGAAAGATCATTCTGATGGGATTTAGTGGTCAGGAGGTTGAGCCATTAACAGTGATTAAAAAGAGTGCTAGACACAATACTAATTGAGATATGGGCACAAAAGTCTTAAAGAGTGTAAACAGGAAGAATTTTAAACATTGTATGCTTGTGGTCAGATAAAGGTCAGTCTTAGTTGAGCTCCATAGGAGAGATTTAATCTCTTCAGTGGTGGGAGAAAGATCCAGTAATGCTGAGGAAGCATTGGAACAAAAATGGAAAATCAGGGAGGGGAACTCAAGGATAAAGGAACAGGTAGGAAAAAAATATGGATGCATACTTGTCTTTTCTAAAACTCAAGATGGGCATAAATAAAACAAGGGAATGAGAAGAAGCTTTCCTTCTACAGTGGCATAACAGTAAAAAATTAACAGAGAAAAGATATAGGGATATTACATTTCCATAATGTTAGTAAACTTTAGAGGAAGAGAGATGTTTAGTCTAGGGTGGCAAAAAGTCAGGCACAAGCTTTTGTAAGCTACAGCTCACTTCATCAGATACATAAAGTGGCTCGACTGATGTAGGTTTTAAATTGGGGTGAGATATTGATCTGAACTACTCACCAACAAGATCAATGGACAAATCAATAGAGCCAGATCAATTCCCAGGAAGGACCTATTAAAAGACAGAGCACAGAAAAAGAACACCAGGACGAAAACACTACAGGCTGTCACCTACAGCTTACAGCTCAAACCATTCAAATACATTATGAATAAGTTACAGCCCATACTGAATAATGACACTGCACTTTCTCAAGCACTGGGTGGCAGGCCCATACTTGCATACAACCACCTAACCTGAAGCATTTTTTCACACGCAACAAGCAACAAGATAATTATGCCAACATGATAACCAGAACCTGCAAGCAGATAGCTATGTTGCCCCTACATCTACACTGATAGCACTGTCCCAGGCCCCAGCAGATACACACACAAGATTAGAGGTGCCTAAACATGCTGTTCCTCCAGTGTGATATATGCCATTATCTGCCAACAATGCCCCCTGGATTTTACACAGAATAAATGGAACAAATATTATGCAAAAGAATTAATGGACATAAGTTTGACATCAGGGCTCAAGACAAGGACAAAGTAATATCAGAGCATTTCAACCTTCAGCACACTCCAAAGCAAACCTTAAACTGACTTTTCTGGAAAAAGAAGAATTTAACAACATCATTGAGCAAGAAATTGTTAAAGGTACATCAAAAGGTTTCAGAGAATCTCAGAAGGTCTCAACAAACACAATCGGTTTTTAACATGTTACAATTGTTAATGGATAAAGTACTTGTAATCTGTCTCACATGTAACCTTCATGTGCATATCCAACCTATCTTCCCCTCCCTTCCCCTCCACTATTTCCCCCTACCACCTCACCAGTTTCAATCCTCCATCAGTCTAGCTACTTTATGCATCTGATTAAGCAAGCTGCAGTGGATACAAGAAGAAAAGGGAAAGAAAGAGCTGCAGTGGGTTCTTTGTTCCCCTAAACCAGGGGTCCCCAAACTCTTCAACTGATCACCCCCTTCATGAAGTTTCATATTTTTTTTATAATATTTTATTGAGATTTTAAAGATACATATTTAAAAGTTAGACATGAAAAGGAAAATTTGAAATACA